GTATTTTTATCTCGGTTTGATAAATAAGTATTTTCATCAGTCAAATTTCAATATTTACGATAATCCTGTTGTCAACTTTTTTCCTTGTTTTTTTGTCCTTCTCCTCTTTCTTCTTTACAGTCTTCGCAATATTTTTCTCCTGGATAAGCATATCCTCAACAAGACAACTTTTTTTTATTTCATTTTAAGTCTTCTAATAGTCATTTAACCGTTTCGGGATTGCGAATACAATCTTTCTCTTGACATCTCTGTCAACCCTTTTTTTCGGCTTGTTTTTTTCATTCTTTAAATTTTCTACTTCTTTTGTTAATTATTTTGTAATAATCATTACTACATTCAGAAGAACAAAAAATACCATATTGGCGAATGCGGTGACCGTGGCAGTCTTTATTAACCTTTGTGTGGCAAGGAGCACCACCCCGACAAAAAACTAAACGCAGGTTTTGGAGTTTTGGTTCTTCGTGGTGTCCATACTTTTTCAAATCTTCTCTAAATTTTTTTTCCTCTTTTAACTCTTTTTCCGTTCACTCTCGTTCGATAAAGTGCTTGCTACATCGATAACAGCGTTTTTCTGTTTCGTCCAAACAGTCTTCGCAAAAAATACCGTGTTCTTTTCAATTTTCCATTTGGCAAATCTGTCCCAGCCAAAAACTTTTTTTACATTTATCGCATGCTTTGCGTTGATTACATTGGCGAGCATTATTGTAATTTTTATTCATGGTAATTATTGTTATATATTTATTTTACTGATTTTGATTTGGTAGCGGCCTCCTTTTTACTTAAATGTAAATTAATTAAAGTATATCTTTTTCTTATGCGATTAGTCCGACCCTTTGCTCGATAGATGGCTCTTTTTTGTATTCTTCCTTGATTTACTTCAATTTTACTGAGATAAAAATCACTTATATTTTCTTGACTTTTTTCTAAATTTTTCGCGGCTCCTTGTAATAACTTATGTAGTATTCGCCCTCCTTTTTTTGGCAAAAATTCCAGAATTTTTAAAGAATAGTCTAAGTTTTTTTTCCGGATTATTCCGGCCACCAGGTTCATTTTTTGGGGAGAAATGGGAATTTGTGAAGTTTTAATAATAATTGGTTCCATGAGAGAGAAATATATTTAAGATTTTAGTGGGTTCCGGCTTTCCCGTGCTGTCCTGATTGACGAGTAGGAGCAAAGACCCCAATTTTGTGTCCTACCATTTCTTGGGTAATTTGACGGCTCAGAAATTTTTTACCGTTGTGGATAAGTAAGGTGTGGCCAATCATTTGGGGGCTAATTACTGAGTCCCTGGCTCAAGTTTTAAAAGCACCTTTTTTCCCCTCCTTATTGGCCTTTTCAATTTTTTTCAGCAGTTTTTCGTTAATATATAATGGTTTTTTTAGTGAGCGAGACATATATTATTTATTTTTTGCGACGGTTAACTATATATTTATTGGATGGTTTGTTCTTTTTGCGAGTTTTTTTTCCTAAAGTCTTTTTCCCTCAGGGACTAAGTGGTGAAGGATGGCCAATTCCGGCTTTTTGTTCTCCACCGCCATGAGGGTGATCGCAAGGATTCATCGCCGAACCCCGCACTGTCGGACGAATGCCACGTCAACGACTTCGGCCAGCCTTTCCTAATCTAACTAAATTGGCTTCACTATTACTTACTTTACCAATAGTGGCCCGACAAGTTGCCAATACCTTCCGAACTTCTTTGGACATCAATTTTACTAATACATATTTATTTCCCTCCTCTTTACCAATTATTTCCGCATAAGTGCCAGCTCCTCGCATTAATTGACCTCCCTTTTTTGGTTTTAACTCTAAATTATGAATTGGAGTGTTAACTGGGATATGACGTAGCGGCAAATTATTTCCGACTCGTAAGGGAACATTTTCTCCCTCTCCGCTGGTTATTTTGTCGTTAACTTTTAGCCCCTCAGGAGCAATTATGAAAGTGAAACTACCATCCTGATAACTTATCAAAGAAATAAAACAATTGCGATTAGGATCGTACTCGACACTTTTCACTTTCCCTTCAATATTGTCCTTTTCATAGCGTTTGAAGTCAATAATTCGGTAAAATCGTTTGTGTTTTCCCCCTTGGTGTCTTGTAGTAATCTTTCCTTGATTATTGCGTCCTGATTGAGGTTTAATTAACTCAAGAAGTTGACGAGGGGTTTTTTGTGGATTAGGGGTTAGTTTTTCCCGATAATCGATTAAAATAGTGTTACGACTAGAATTGGCTAAAGGTTTAATTTTCTTCATTATATATTATTAATTTTTAAACTTTATTCCTCAAAAATGGGTAGTTTTTGACCTGGCATTAACTCAACAAAGGCCTTTTTTTTTAATTTAGTATAAATCCTAGTTGGTGATTTTTGTAAATAGCGAGTTTGTCGCAAAACCGGCTTTTGGCGACTAGTGCGAACTTTTTTTATCTTTACCTGAAACATTTTTTCTAATTCTTGCTTGATTTGGAATTTATTGGCGGAGGGCAGCACAGAAAAAACATAAATCTTATTTTTTTTTTGGTAAAGAGACTGAGCTTTTTCGGTTAAGATTGGTTTTTGGATTAGCATATTAATTATTTTTTTTACTTTTTGCTGTTTTATTAACCAAGATAACTCCTAGAATTAGGGCAGAAACCAAGAATATTATCACGCCCGAAATTAGCAAATTATTATTTTTGGCTGGTTTTATTTCCTCTTTGCATTGTTGATCATTACTTAACTTTTGAAGTTCTGATTGTAATCTTTCTATTTCTTGGGTTGATTTTCTTTGCCTTTTGGCTTCAATTAATTCTTTTTCTAATTTTTCTATCTTGTTGTCATTACTAGAACTTACTAACGTGCTGCTTTCCGAAATGTTTTCTCTATTATTAGGTCAATCATTTTTGTCATTAGTTAGATTTCAATAATCCCGATAACTTTTGATTCAATTTTTTTCATTATTACGGTGGTTGTCATCTCATTTTTCCCCCTTCCTCTCACATTCACAATAAAAACAATACTTTTCCCCTGGTGCGGCCATTTTATCGCAAGCGAGAGCCCGTTCACCTTCTTCTCTTCTTATTTTTTCCTTGTAAGTGGATAATTTTGGGTGGTCGTCTCAATCACGAAATAAATCTTTTTCCTGGCAAGGAGTTCAGCCTACTTTTTCCGCATGCTCCTTTCACTCCTTATATTTTGAACCTTCCAAATTGGCACCTCCGTTTCGCTCCTCACGGCAATCTCTCGAGCAAAAATGCCCGTGTTGGGGAACAAAATGTCCTTTACACTCTTTTTCGTTACAAAAGGCTTGGTCCGCATGAATATAATACTCACAACCAATATAAGGTCAGTATTTTTCATTCGGTTTTTCTTTTTCTTGCTCTTTTCTGTCTACTTTTTCGTGCTGTTCGTAATTTCCTTTTTCTCACTCAGTAAAGTTCTCAATCTTATTAAAAAATTTGGAACAATGACAGCATGGTATTTTAATTTTGATAAGACAATCGCGACATAATGCCCCTTTTTCCTTTCAGTTTTCTAACTGAATAAGTTCACCTAGTCAGGATTCGCTCTTACATTCGCTACATGTGCCACGATTATTACATTTATTATTTTTGTAATTCATGATTTATATACTATTTTTTGTTTTTTTTGTTCCTTACTGCTAAAACAGTTGCGAGAGAAATAAAAGAAGCAATTACAATTCCACCAATAATTAATCCTGAATGGTCGTTCCCCAACTTGTTTTTATTTTCCTGTTTTAAGTTTTCTTGCGATTGATCGTTGTGTCCCTTTTCTTCTGAATTATCATTGTGGGAGTTATTTCCATGGGAGGAACAAGAAAGATTATTATCACAGGGCGAATTATCCTCTTTATCGAAATGGTAATCCGGACAATTAAAGCGCTTATGGCAGGCTTTTGATGACCATCTATGTAATACTAGACCAGGGATTTTTTCTTGATTGGCTAGTTCGGTTAAATTATCGTCGGCTCGGTAGGCTTTTTTAACCTCTTTTAGCCTATCCTCATAAGTCAGTCCTTCCCAGTCTTTTTGAAATTGAGCGTTTTCGGCTTCGTAGCGTTGCTTGCCGCCCTCTTCTCAATTTTTATGGTCCAAACATAATTTCCCCTGATCTGGTTGGGCTAATTTTATAACTTTTCACTGGTTCTTTTCTTCTTCTAATCATTCTCAACCTTCCTCTTCGCTTTTTAAACCCATTCAGAAATTTCAGCACTCTTCGCATTTACTTCAGCCCTGATTCAATTTCTCTTTTCAGTTTTGATATTTCTGGTCGGCTAGTTTTTTCGAGCATGATTTAGAACAAATAAATTCCACTTTATTACTTATTCGCTCGCAATTGTAACTAACACCACCATTACAATGAGGATATTCAGGCTGACCGCTCCGCGGAAATTTTATATTAGCCACTGATTTTCCGCAACCTTTACAACAGGAAAAACTTTTGTAGCAATCCCAGCAGTATATTTTTCCATCCTTGTCTCTGATTGGATAAGTGGTGGTAAACTCATCTCAACGATTTTTTGTTTCGGCATTTTGTTGGCATTTCGCACATTTGATATAATTTTTTGACATAGTTTTATTGATTTTTAGTCTGTTTATTTTATAAATAAGTATTTCTGTTTAAAGCTACTTATTATTTAATTTTATATTGTTTTTGATTAAGAGACCAGCACTAACTCACATATTATTATTGTTTAAGGAAATTGGGAAAGGGCAGGGGAAACCACCCTCCCAATTTTTAATCAAGTTTTATTTTCAATTATTACTATTTTCTATGTAAGCCTCTAACTCCCTAATTTCATTTGTATCCTGACACATAGTTTTATAATCTTCTAAGAAACTTTTCACTACCCTTTTCGTTTCTGCCTTTTCTGAGTTTGATAATTTATCAGTTATAGATCCAATTGCAAGTCCTGTAGTTCCTCCACCTAAGGCTCCAAAAATAGCTCCAATTCCAGCGGCAGTTGGGGCAAGTGTTAGTGAAAAACCAAATGTTCATGGAGCAAGAGCAGCCATTGCACCAGCACCTAATGCAGCTCCACCCAAGGCTCCCGCTCCAACTCCGCCAGCAGTTCCAGCAATTTTTCCTTTATTAGTTTCTTCCTGAATTAAATGTCTTTGTAAAAATATGTCACCTTCATTTTCAAGGGTGATACCCCCTTCTATCTCTTTCTGATTTAATAATTCTTCTGCTACATAAAATTCTTCCTCAACACTTAATTCTAACTTTTTGCTTATCTCTTGAGAGATGTCCAGCGTGACTGACTTTTCATTACCTTTATTATCTTCGTATCTAAAACCATAACGTTCGCAAAGTGGCTCTTTTCAGCCTTCCGTCGAATTTCAATATTTTTTAGGTCGGCCTATTTTAATAAAGTTACGATTTTCAGGAGCCTTAATCTTATCTAAATACAATTGTGCTTGTTCGATTTTTGCTTCTAGTTCTTGTTTTTGTTGTTCTTCATCAATTTTGTCAACTTTATTTTTTGCTGTCTCCACATATTTTTCCAATAATTCTTTTAATTTCTCTAACGTTAATTCATTTGATTTTGTCATATTTTTTAAATATTCTTGTGTATTGTTAATTGTTTAAAAATTTGTCTTCCAATCACTACTGGGAACTTAATCCAAATTATAGCAAATCAGGTAGTATAACCCTACTCAAATTGAATGTCCACTTTCTATATCTATATTTTACATTACTTTATCAATAATCCTTTAATTTTG